AGCAGGAAGGCTGATCCCTAAAAATACTGGTGGCACCCTTAGAGGGCCAAGATTGTAACCAGATATGAGGGGAAGAAGCTTTACTTATTTTTGTATTCTGTTATCAAACTCATGGCCAGTTTTTGTGGTATAAAGCTTTATCCCATGTAATAAATCCTTTTGTTTTGTCTCCTTAATGATTGCCTTTGGTGAAGAATGATCTCAGGGCAAGTGATATTCCAGGCTAAGTCATTTTGTGGAATGGGGGACCTAAACTTCTTTCACAACCCAAAGGAAAGCCGCCTAGGGCTAGCAGAGTTTCCCTCGCTGTGGCTCTGGGGTCTGGTACAAAAGCAGTGGAGTGGAGGTTTGCAGGGATAAGGCATTTTCCAAGGACAAATCTTGGTGGTTCCTTGGGACAAGCAGCTGGGCAGCAGGGAGAAACTCAGGGATCTGTGGGTACCCCATGGATGGGTTTGTGACAGGTCTTGAAATCTTTCCCTTTTCTCCCATACTTTTAATACCTTGGAGCTAGTTAGGGCTTGGGAAGATTCTTTGGCCTTTCAAAACATGCTTAAAAGGCAGTAAATTCAAGGCAAGTTTCTAGATTTTTGACAAATGGAATATAATTTTCTTCTTACTTGTGTGTTTTAGGTTCTCAGAACTTCACTGATACTACTTTATTCCCGTATACCTTCTATTCCTATTACCTCAAGGCCAGCAATGCTCACGGTTCCACAAGAAGTGCAGAAGTAACGTACAGGACAAAACCGGGGACACCCACAGGAAATCTACATTTAAATGCAGCCTTTCCTATTGGCCCACGTTCCATTTCACTTAACTGGACATCCCCATCAAATGACTCTGGGCCTATAGAGAAGTATATTTTGACATGTACTAATTCATTCAATCTAGAGCCTTGTGGCCTGTATGAAGGTTTAGAAACCTCAGCAATTATTTGGAATCTGGTTCCGTTTACAAAGTATATTTGTTCTGTTCAAGCCTGCACCAGTGGAGGCTGTTTGGAGAGCCAGCCAGTGACAATAATTACTGCACAAGCCCCTCCAGAAGGGCAAGATCCTCCTGCGATTCAAAATATCAGCTCTACAGAGCTTACATTAGAATGGTCTCCACCTACAAAGCCAAACGGTAAATCCTAAAACCTAAGATTCATTCTTGACAAAGCAACCTACCCTTTACATTCTTTAAATTATTGTTGTTATTTGGATACCAGCATTGCATTTTAGCATAAGAATACAAGTATCTATGTTGTTTGCTGTTGAATGCTGTTTTTCCTTTTAGGATCAAATTTTGGTTTTGCTGAGAAATTCCAGTGATCTGTGTTGAAAGTTGGTTTTAGCCCTAAATAAACCTGTTTATATAAAAATAACGTTCACAATTATTTTTTTTTCCCTGGCCAGGGCAGTTAGTTCACACACAGCATTTCTATACTGTATTGGGCTAGTGCTAGGGAACAGTGTAAAAATGACATGCCCCACCTATTTATTCCTCATCTATGTGTCTTGCATGCCAAAAAATGGCATTTAATTGCCATTAGAGTAACATTGGTCGCAAATGCTAATCTCATGAATATGTCAGTGCCTGAGAGTGTCACTGTTCTTGCTTTGGGAATAAAACAAAAAAAGCATCAACATGATTTTTTTTTTTCCCATTTGCAATTCATGGAGGAGGATTGAGTGGGCAGACTGTTTTTTTATGACAGTGTTCCTTAGTACCATCTGACATAGTTGAGACCCATCCACAGATACAGTGCCTATTGTTGCCTGTGTACTAGATGAGCAAAAGAAAAGCATGAACTAAGAGAATTAACAGAGGGAGACTATGTTTTTACAAATTCTGCTACCAAGCTAAATGTTACAGGTTATATCATTTTCAAATATTGCAGGTCAGATTTGCATAGTTAATGTTTTGGGGCCAGATTCAAATTGATTCTGTAGCCACCTCAAAGGGCCAGAAGTGCCTAAATTCCATCCAGGTCACCAAAAGTGATTCAAATTTGCTTTTTGCTAGCAGCTACAAGATGCGTGCCAATTTTATACTGAAAAGCTCTTTACGTATCTACGGTTGGGCTTTGGAAGGTGTTAACTGTCATAGCTCAGTGAAAGACCTATTGTGTTATTGCAGGGGTGGGCAAAATACAGCCCGCGGGCTAGATGCGGCCCACCAGGCCATTCTATCTGGCCCGTGGGGACCCTAAAACATTTAGAAAATTAATATTTATCTGCCCCTGGCTGCCGGTCACGTACCCCTCGATGGCTTGCCAAAACTCAATAAGTGGCCCTCCGCCCAAAATAATTGCCCGCCCCTGTGTTATTGCATAGATTACCTATTACTTCTTGGTTCTACAGAGGCTGTTGGTAACTTTCTGTGCTTAGGCATAAAAAGATGAACATGAGCTGCCAGTGCCAGACCGCAGCCAGCAAGGCCAGCCATACCTTGTCATGCATCCAAAGATGCATCTCAAGCCAATCCAGAGAGGTGATACTCCCCCTCTATGCGACATTGGTCAGGCCACAATTGGAGTATTATGTCCAGTACTGGGCGCCGCATTTCAAGAGGGATGTGGCCAGCCTGGAGAGGGTTCAGAGGAGGGCCACCCGCTTGGTGAGAGGGCAGCAGGACAGGCCCTACGAGGAGAGACTGAGGGACCTGAACCTGTTCAGCCTCAGCAAGAGGAGGCTGAGGGGGGACCTGGTGGCTGCCTACAAACTCATCAGGGGAGATCATCAGCAAATAGGAGGAGCCCTAGTCTCCACAGCACCACCTGGGGTGATGAGGAACTATGGTAATAAGCTGAAGGAGAATAGGCTTAGGTTGGAGATCAGAAGGCAATATTTTACAGTTAGGGTGGCTGAAATCTGGAACCAACTTCCTAGGGAAGTGGTCCTTGCCCCTACCTTGGGTACATTCAAGAGGAGGTTGGACGATCACCTGTCTGGGGTCTTGTGAACCCAGCATTCATTCCTGCCTGTGGCGGGGGGGGGGGG